CCTTAAAAAGTGAATTTACATATACATGCATGTTGATTGCCTTTTTTTGCTCTCTTTAGTATTTTTCAGGCAACCGTGATCAAAATACAATTGTCTGTCATGCATTCATCCCTGCGCTCAGATGTCGCTATGTCCGAGTCCGTCCATGGGGATGGTACAGACATATCTCCATGAGATTAGAGTTCTATGGTTGTCTAACAGGTACAAGCCTAGGAGAGCCGATTTTTCCACGCGGGTGTTTCAAAAACTAAGACCTAAGACCCTCTGCGAATCTCAAAAACTGAGACCTAAGACCCCCGCCCAATCTCAAAATCTAAGTTCTAAACTAAGACGTTATGTTAATGTTGAAAAACAAATCCTATTGTAGGTACGTTTATCGTAAGTATTGTATTTAAGTGATTTATTGTAATTAAGATGTTATAGGTATATTTATTGTAATAAAAATGTTGGAAAAAAAAAGACGGAGGGGGTCTTAGGGCTTAGTTTGTAAGATTTGGAGGAGGTCTTAGGTCTTAGATCTTAGGTCTTAGTTTTTGAGACACACCTTTTCACACAGTAGTTTTCTTGGCAAGCCTATTAGCCCTAAACTTTTCACTTTCAGCATTGCAGTTCTCTTGGTAAATTATTTTAATCACTCCTTGATGAAAATTATTTTTTCCATTTAGATAATCAGCATCTTAAGTCTCTAACATCTGCTGAAAAAAGCGATTCCATGCGGTTGTGCTGCTGTTCAGTAATAGATCACAGATGACGTCAAAATGTGGTAAAAACAAAACAGTGCCACACGAGCTATTAGGCAAGTGTTTCGATGATGCTCGTACCACATTTTGACGTCCTCTGTGATCTATTACTGAACAGACGCACGAATTTCTTATGGAAAAGGGTTTCTAATTTGACAGGAGAAAACACTATCAGTTTTAGTGCTTGGGTTTTTTGATAGACCATTGCACTAAACCTTTGCAAAATCTTATATTTCTTACTACTGTACTTGAAATCATTCTTTAATTTTTGCTTTTGCAGACAGATGTACCATGCCTCTTGGTATGGAAGATCGTCGTATCTTGTCGGGTCATCTTCGAGCCTCATCGTCATACAACCATAAGCACGGACCTGACCGAGCACGTCTTAATATCTGGGCCGGTCACGGAAGAACCGGGGCCTGGGTGGCAAAGTATCGAAATCCCAGTCAGTGGCTGGAGATAGACCTAAGGCGGATAAGTCTCATCAAAGGAATCGCTACACAAGGAAGAAGAGAAGCCCACCAGTGGGTGAAAAGTTATACTCTGTCTTATAGTGTGAAAGGTCTGCGCTTCAGACCATATGTAGCTTATGGCAGGATTAAGGTGAGTTGGTGCATTAAATTGCTTAGAACAGTTTTCAACTGATTGTTAGAGCAATTTTCAATTGAGTGTCGAAAGTAATCAGAGAATTAGTTTGGTTTTGGTTTTGGTTTTACTACGGTTTGAGATTGGCTAAGTAGTCTAATTGGTAATTGATGGTTTGGTTTTGGTTTTACGACACTCAATTGAAAACCACTCTAATGGAGCGTGTAAGACCAAAACCAAAGCAATCACTCTAGCCAATCACGAAGGAAACAGACAATACGGCGAACCAATCAAAGAGCTTATGCGAAGCGCGGGAAAACGAGTAAGAGCGAGTCACTTCTGATTGGATGAAAAAGTGGCGTGCGTTTTGTTAAGCCAATCGTGTAGCATAGTTGATGCAAAATCAATAACTTTTCGACACTCAGTTGCAAACCATTCTAAAGCATATAATCAGTTTATTTCTCCCACTGTATAACATATTAAGTGTTATGCTTTTTGCACTTCTGTTTTTGTTTTGGTTTATACGATAGCGAGGTTTCACCGCACGCAACGCATCCTGGCCAAAACTGGGTCTGTAACTATGAACATTTACGCTTCATCCAAATGTTGTCATATGTATTTCCAACAGTTTTTAACCAAATCTCAACAGACAGCTACAGTGCTTTCATTTCTAGTTCATTTAGCAGGTCATTGCACTGGTATATATATATCACACAGGTTTTGACTTGGAATCTCATTGAAGTCCTTGCATTGACTTTTTTGTAGAAGTTCTTTGTTACAGTAATCTGTAGAGATATTCAGAGTGCTTGAAATATTAACAACTGAAGATTGTCGGTTTTTTCGTCAGGTTTTCCGTGGAAACTATGATATCTACAACACAGTTTCTTTCAAGATAATTCCACCAATTAGGGCACGGTATCTACGTATTCATCCCAAAACTTGGCGCAGCTACATTGCCATGCGCGTGGAGCTGTATGGATGTCGATATAAGGGTGAGTTCAAAAGCAAGAAAACGTACAAGTGTTTATATGGCCTCATTTAACGATAAGCCATTTCCAAGTTACCTTTTGCCTCTCTTTCAAAACGAGTCTTCCAGTAACACCGTTTAATGAAAATGTGTTTTCCCAACACGTTTATCAATATTCTCATGCAAATCAAACTCATTTTCAGCTGAACGTTTTCGCCGAGAACTCGTTTTGAAACAGAGGCATAGGTAGGTCGAAAATGACCTATCGGATTATGGGTTCGCGAGTTGTAGATTGGTTGAAATCTACGGATCCTTCAAACTTAAACAAAAAGGCAGGTTATCGTTTTTATTACTGAAATAACGATATAAATATATCGGTCACGCCACGCTTGCATTTCATTCACGATTTACCGAGCGGAGTTTTTGAACGAAAAACGTCTTCATTCAATATTTCTCTGTCATTCTCTGGGGTCGCCCCGACTAGTATATTTAATTATATAAGTCCTCTTCACTGTAAATTAAAAGTGCATAGAAACGGCGACCTTTTATTAATAACCGTACACAGCTAGACTACTCACTATCTACAACAGAATAGATAGTGAGTAGCAAAATTGATAGAAAGCAGTAGATTTATACTTAAATCCACCAGACTGTTCCGCAACTCAGGCTAGTTATGTCTATATGTGCTATTGGCTGCGAGAAGTCAACATCTTTTTCAATTATTTTCTTAGAGCGATTCTATGACCATGTTCTCGGCATTCAAAGTGGAAAAATAAAGAATGCTGCCATGACTGCCTCCTCACAGTGGGACAAATTCCACGCTCCATTCCGTGCCCGACTGCACATGCCACGGCAAGGTCGCTACATTGGCTCATGGTCTGCGCGCCACAACAACCATAACCAGTGGCTGAAGATCTTCTTAGGAAGGACATATAGGGTCACAGGTATTGCAACACAAGGACGGCACGATGCAGACCAATGGGTGACGGCTTATTATGTTTACTACAGTCAAGATGGAGTGCACATGTCCAGAGTCACATATTGGTGGGACCACATACGGGTAAGAAGTTTCTGTTTTGATATCTTACTTGTTGAATGACTCATGAAAATTTGGCAGGTCCCAAAAGTTATTGTGCTGCTGAAGTCTCTCTGAAATTTACCAAATGTTTGTATTCTAAGATTCCGTCTGCCTAGCTTGCCATACACCAGCAGCATTCTCCTCAAAACAGATGTTTTTTAAGGAAATTAATTGCAGTATAATAAGCCCTACAGTATTTTAGTCAATTCTGGATGCAAACTGGGTTGGTTGGAAGATTTTAGTAAGCCTCTATATTGTCAAAGTATATGGAAATTTTGGAAGCTATGGGCCCCTAAAATTTAAGAACAAATGATGGATTAAAATATCATTAATCAGAATTGTTTATGAAAATAACAACTTGTCTTATTTGCAACAAGAAAGTATCTTTTGGAGTACGTTGTATATTTGGCACTCTGAAAACACTCAAATTGAATAGCACTTAGTATTTCTTTTAGTTTGAAACTCCTAATAAAGTCTTGAGAACAAGTGAAGAATTTTTTTTGCCTATCGCATCTCCATTAATTTGCTCCACCGCTGACTATTTTACCTTTTCTTTTATTTAGACTTTCAAAGGAAATTACGATCGAAATGGTGTTCAGACTCATCCATTTAACCCTCCCTTCCCAGCACGATTTGTATTAATAGTCCCACGTGGCTGGCACCGACATATCTCTATGAGAGTTGAGCTGTTTGGTGGGCTATGGAGTAAGTAAAATTATTATACCTCCTAGTTATTACGCGCGCTGTGATTGGTCAGTTTAAAGGGCCATATATAGTCAACTGTACGGCCTCCTAAAATCTGAATTTGTTCCTGAACTCGTCAAATACACATCGCGATACTAGTAATAAATATCTTACTAACCTCATCTTCTCTCGGTCTGCGCTGGAAGGAAGTTGCGGATCCTTGTTTATTTTTTCTCCTCGGTATGTAATTTTTTTAGACAAGACCTTAAAGACGCTCCGTCGCGGTTTGCATATCATGAACATTTTACCCTAAATTTTCATCATTTGTAATCCGTGTCAATCTTCTCCATCCTTTGCCATCCTTGCTATTTCATGGTTTATTATTATCTCTTTGGTGTTTTTCTATCTTACTAAACTGTTATTTTCAGTTTTCCTTCAATTTAAAAGTAATTTTGTACGTGGCCAAAAAACTCAAAATACCGTGAATGAGCTCCTTTAAACTAGTTTAGTGAGAGGTATCTATTTCTAACTTGACATAAATGTGACATTCAGATATCTTGAGCAAATACTGAACATGGCATCTTAGGAATAACTGTAAGTTGTGTGACAGTCATGATTTAAGAACAAACTCTTTTGATAGAATACAGTGCGACGAAAGATTGCAAGATTGCTAAGCCTAATAATTTGTTCAATAACAAAATGTATTAGGGGCCGAAATGTCCGTGAGAGCCTTTGTTAGTTAGACTACGAGTAGTCTCTCTTTCGCTTAGTCTGTCGTGGGTGACGCGAAAGAAAACATCGCGGAAAAAATGGTCGCGCGAAATTTCGCACCGCCTTATCCTCGAAGGAAACTGGGAGTTTTAGCGATGACGACGGCGACGCCGAGGACTACGCCCTGTATAAAATGTATTTGTATTTTACCTTTTAATGTCACAACTGTGTAAATCTGTTCAGTACGCCTATCGGTCTAAAATCTTGCCCAGGCTAAACATGTACCGACAGCGTTCAGTTCCAAAAGAAGATACAAAACATTAACCATTACGGTTCGCGTTATCTAAAATACGGAGTACTTGGTTATTTCACGTTGTTGTTTTGCAGAGGACCGGACGGCAAAGAAATTTACCAAGATTCAAAACGCACGTGCACAGCCATTGTTCATTAAACCTTCTGTTTGGTGACGCTCTCGTTGCCGTCGCCGTCGTGGTTTGCTAAAGCTCCCTATTAGCGAAAGAGGGACTACCCGTAGTCTATTGTTAGCAGAAACGTCATGGTACATTATTTGGCATTACTAATTCTTGACCATGGCTGTTTTGTTTTTGTTCTTCTAATTAAGGTAAGTGTGATATTCCTCTTGGAGTGGAAAATCATGGCGTCCCTAGCCAACTCATCACTGCCTCCTCGTATTACAACTTCTGGGGTGCACCAAGAAATGCTAGACTACGCCAGCGGCGTGTTGGACGATCAGGAGGGTCATGGTATGTCAAACGAAATGACAAACGCCAGTGGCTGAAGATCGACTTTGGTGGACTCACTCGTGTGTGGCGAATTGCCACTCAAGGTCGACAGAATGCAGACCAGTGGGTCACAAGTTACTATGTGTCCTACAGTGTTAAGGGATTCCGTTTTGTGACCTACAAAGAGTACGGAAGGACAAAGGTTGGTGTTAATTTTGTTGATAAAGCGGTTTTCAATTGAGCGTCGAAAGTAATTGGTTTTGCATTAACTACGCTGGACGATTGGCTTAAAAAACTCGCACCACTTTTTCATCGAATCAGAAGTAAAACCAACACCAATCTTGACTCACTCGCACGCGTTTCTTCCGCGCTTTGTGTCAGCTACATGTAAC